TCATTTGAACATTTAGGTAATCTAGAGAAATTATAACGATTGTTTTATTGTCATTCCCATCTCCAATCGATGCCATCTTAACTAATTCACCTTCAAATATTCAGCACAACCTCACGCACYTCCACAAAACTTATCTCACTTTCAGCACCACCAACTTCTTCAAATACACATTACACATCAAATACAAAAGCTGAAATCACTTAGTCATTAAATCAAACATCTGTACTGCACATTGCAGAACCATTCACACACCAAATACAAGGGCTGAAATCACTCATCCATTAAACCAAACACTTACACTGCACTCTATAGAACCAACTTGTACTCAGCTGAACATTGTTCACCCGAACCTGCTCTCTTCGTACCATCGAATAGAGAGCTTCTTACCAATCATCACAAACAGCCACTGCACCACAAACCGGAGGCATGAAGGCCTCCTACAGAGAAAAACGACCACTCCTTTTCAGCCTTTCCCTTAATCTCCCAATGGTTCTTGAGAAATCTGCAAAACCCTAGAGAGGAGGGCGAAAAAAACTGGGTGAACCATGTGAAAACCTTATTTAGTCCTAGGTTACAGTAGAGAAAAAGGAGAAGAAGAAGAAGAAGAAGAAGAAGAAGAAGAGGAGAAGAAGAAGAAGGGTTCAGCTAGTAGAGGAAAGAATCAATCCACTCTCTAGTCAACCCACTTGTATTTATCTCCAATAACATAGTTACAAGAAAGACCATATTGTCCCTCATAAGTGATGGGGCACATAACTTAAACTTGAATAAAACAGACTTTTCACTCTCAAATAGATAAATCCAAATGACCAAAATACCCCTGTTTTGTGTACTCTAACAAGTTACAAGGTTGGCTGCCAAACCCACTCAATGTTGCTCCCTTTGCAGATGTTGATTTCCGATCCGACCTCTTACAAGGACCCATAACTCTTCCAACAGTCAAGATTGAATTGTTGGATCTCTCTGACAATCAACTTACCAGTTCTATTCCATCAAACATTGGTGAAGTACTACCAAATTTAATCTTTCTTTCCCTTTCAGGTGACCATATAACAGGTGAAATTCCAACCACCATTGGAAAGATGATATTTCTAGAAGTCCTTAGCCTTTCAAGAAATTATTTAATGGGCAGTATCCCCTCAAGCTTAGGAAATTGTTCATTACTAAAGGCCTTAGACCTCAGACAGAATAATCTATCTGGGTCACTTCCGTGGTCAGTTGGTCAGTTAAAGCAGCTTCAGACACCGCACCTAAGCAATAATAGGCTATTAGGGGTGCTTCCATTATCTTTGCAGAATTGCATAAATTTGGAAACTCTAGATCTCGGCAACAACAGATTCTCAGGTGATATTCCACCTTGGATTGGAGGAAGCCTGACTGTTCTTAGAATCCTCCGGTTGAGGTCAAATACATTTTCAGGAAGAATTCCTTCTCAAATTTTCAATCTTAGTTCATTACAAGTTTTAGATCTTGCACAAAACAATTTGATTGGCAGGATTCCTGCCAACCTAGGAGTTCTTAAAGCAATGGCTCGTCCACAATATGTCAACCGGTATCTGTTCTATGGAAAATACAGGAGACTCTACTATGAAGAGAACTTGGTTATGTCCATTAAAGGCCAGCTTCGCACATACACCAAAACTCTTTCTCTTGTAACCTGCATAGACCTGTCTCAAAATAGTTTACATGGAGATTTCCCTGAAGCAATAATAAATTTGTCAGGCTTAATAGTTTTGAACTTGTCAACGAACTATATCAGTGGAGTCCTTCCTGAAGGAATCATGAACTTACATGAACTGTCGTCTCTGGATGTCTCAAATAATCAGCTCTCAGGTGTCATCCCTTCCAGCATGCCATCCATGGCTTCTTTGAGTTATCTCAACTTATCAAACAACAATTTCTCAGGTTTGATCCCATTTTCAGGGCAGCTTCAGACTTTTGATGAGTCTTCATACTATGGAAACCCTGGTCTTTGTGGACCTCCAAATAGAAAAGTGACTGTTAAGGATGAAATTGGCAATGGAATCAAGGATAAATGGTTTTACTTGAGCACTGGTCTGGGATTTTCCGCAGGTCTTTTGGTACCTTTTTTTGTTCTAGCAGTAAGAAGGCCATGGAGTGATGCTTATTTCAGTATTGTAGATAAAATTGTTGATAGAATATTGGAAGTAGGAAGCGGCAAAGCCATGTCCCACAAGAAGCGACGTCATCACCAATAAATCTCTAAATTATGACATTATTAAGATTCTTTCAAGTTGAGAGGCCATGTCTTTTGTTCCAAGGTACTTCTTGCAGGCTACTCACAGTGATATGGATGATGCAAGTAATAATGTCATACTTAAATGAATAATTTTTTGTTCAAGAAATAGTTACTCCACTCCTTTTTAAGTTTGTGTATGGATGACTACCCAAAACAAGGCAAATCTGACTTTCAATGATTTTAAAGGTGATCTATTTCTCTTTTGCTTGATGGAGATTTCTTTAGTTTAATGTCTCTGGTTTTATTTATTATGATCTTTATCTTCTTTTTGTAGTTTTTTCCTTCCCTTTTCATTGATAAGGTCAGATCCATTACAGAGAACCCACATTCAGTCAGTTTTAGCATCAAAGCAATCATGAGTCAATTTATCTAGGTGCTTTTGGCATGCCATGCTTGAGACATATTTATTTAAAGGAACATCCTATTGATGTATTAAGTAGGCATGTTTCAAACAAGATTAGTAGCAATTTTCTGAAGGTCCATCCATACTGCTGAGCTGTCTAGTTCGATTATCAAAAGAAAATAATTCCATTATTTAATTTCTGAGAGAAAGTTGCTACCCACTAAGGCATACTCTGTAAAAAGTAAAACCTGCATGCTAGATAACATGAACTACTCTTTCCAGGAACAGTGTGCTTTTTTATTAATATCTACGAGTATCATTGCCAACAGTCAATCTTGGTGTGCCATTATGCAGTCCAATATCTGAATGAGAAAAATGCATTATTGTTAAGTTGGAATTAGCTATAAACTTTTGCTATTTCTTCTCAATAGTAAAGACCTAATAATTTCCAACCCCCTCTCCCCAGGAGGCTAATGCTAATTATAATAGTCCTGTTTGTTAAAAACTGTCATCATATTTTAATTATTTTTAGGGATAAATAAATTATAGAGAAAATAGGGATGCAAATGGATCAGATTTAATCCTATTCAAATTCGAATCCATTCATTTAATTTGGATCTGGAAATTCATTTAGCCATAATTGGATCAATTGGATACCAGAATAATATCTGCTTATTAATTGGAATGAATTCAGATATTGCTTGATCAAATCGGTTAGGATCCAATCCAATTACATACATACCTACATATAATAAATATCATTTTTTGTATTAAAATTCTTTGAAACTAGTGGAACTTTGGATTTTGAAAATTTTATTTTTTATCTGTACTACATATTTTGTTTTATATTTAAATTTGTAAACGTGTCATAATTTTTTTATAGATTTAGTTATTTTAATCGAACTAGATTTCCAGATATGTAAATGAATCAAATTCGAGTCTGTGTTTTACATATCTAATCCGTTTGGCCTAACAGAAATAGGTTTTCTAAGAAAAGCCATTTTATGTTTTTGAAACAAGTGTCAAACACATCGAGCTAGGAACAAGGTTTAACAAGTTCAGTTTAGGAAATTAAGAGGTGTCAGACAGTTTGCACAGTTTTTAGTTTCATCATTCATGTTATAAGAAAACAATCTAAATGAAGAGCATTTTATCCTTTAGATTTTCCTGCAGAAATTAATATTGACAAGGCTTCCAGATGAAAACTCTAGCAGCTAAGAAAACCCCTTTCCCTATATTATTAGCAGCTAAGCAAATCCCTTTCACAATTTTATCATTTAGAAAAGGAAATCACCCCCTTTCTATCTGTGTGTTTACACTAAAGTTTGCATCTGAATGCCCTTTTCAAGTTTCTTGGATTGTTTTCTTTATTTTGTCTTTCAATGGTTTGATCATACTTTTGTTTTGGAGGGATGGGGGCAGAGGGGATGAAGAATATGTTAGTTCCACTTCCAAACTACTATTGTCATCGCCCTTTTTGATTTCTGTTTCTATTATGTAAGTTAATAGCTAAGAAATTACTTCATAGTAATATGTGAAAGTTTATCCACACCAAAAAATAGCATTTCAAAAATATGTTTTAAGACCTGATCAGGCCTCAGAACTGAAAGGGATCTCTAGCAAATAGGGGTGCAACATGAGCAAACAAAGGTTGAAATTTTGTTAAAATTTGATGCTGTATAAATTCTTATGTTTGGGTAACTGAATTGCATTCTTACTGGAAAGAGGCTAGTTACTTCATTGATATAGAGAACTACTCCCGATGATGCAGCAAACAAGTGCCTTCAGGGCCATGTTCTGCTTCAGATTTTGGAATAATGATCTGAAATAATAGGCCTGAAATATTAACCTGAACCTGTTCAATCATGATAAGAACATTTTCTTGCATGTTTAATAGCATCTAGTGTGATAACCATGACAAAATAAAAAGCTAGAATGATACTGAGTTCCCAACATGGATGCCTATTCATATCCTAGAAATACTTCCAATAAAAGATGTTCTCTCTCCAAAGAATACTCACTCAATTTTGACAAACAGTATCTTTTATGATGTTGTTATTTTCAGAGTTGTAGGCTTTGGAGAAGAGAAGAGAAGAATGGAGATAATGGGGTGGCAGAATAATCTTCTCCAGCCGGCCCTAATGGCTTGTATTAACATATTGTTTAAAATTACATAAAATTACAAGAAAGCCCCAGATTAGTGAGCTGACTCATAACATAAAGCTCTAATGGATCCAATAACTAAAGACAGCAACAATAAAACTGATATAAAGAATTAAAATACTGATAAGCCCAAGCCCAAACATGAGATTATTCATCTCAAGAGTTTAGAATAATCAGTAATTGATGATGACGCTACTAATTTATTTGCATAAATATGAACTACCAAGATTCAGATACTAGCAAAAAATTTCTCCTTCAATCTTTCAACAGTTTCCTTGAGGCTCACATCAAGAGGAGCCAATTCAAGGCCCAAGCTCTTCACTCACTCCTTGGATACTTGGTAAGTTGGTATATAAGTTGTCATCTATACACCTGAAAGTTCAGAGACAAATTCTTAAAATAAAATGGCACCCTAAAATATGAGAGTAGATTCTTGAATTAAAATTAAGTTCCAGATTCTTGAAACTAAATTCTCAAATAAAACTTATTTTATCAGCTACTCTCAGATATGAGTTATGTAGAATTTATAAATCTTGATATATACAAAAGAGCATTTAGAGGGCTATAGTAATTATATATAGTTGTATCTCAAGGTGGTACTTAATGCATAAACATGCTTCCAAGCAACAATTCTTTTACCCATGTATCTATCTTTATTAGTAATAATAAAAAAGGCCATTACCCAATGTTGGTCCCTGCTATCTGTGGTCTTGGGAGGGATAGACTGGGTATGGTCCTAACTTTTGGCATTTCTTTGCACAAGGTTTTACCATTACCCGTGTTCTCAAGCTTTCCAGCCCAAGGTTTTACCATTACACCAGTAATGGACCCTATCTTTATTCTAAGAATAATGACACTAATTACTAAAATAGCATTAATAGCCATAGCATCAGCAGCAGCAATGACAACAACTGTAGTCTCAGGCTCTTAGCTGAAGAGTGGATGAATGAAGGTGGACATTTCACTTTAACCATTGAGAACTATTGTTTCGGTTCCATGGAATCCATGGTAAAAAGAATAGGCATGCCTTTAAGATACGAGAAAATGTAGTTGGAAAGTAGCTCATATTTGAGTGTCATGGAAACCCCCGATTGTATAATTACATTATCAATACCCCATCCAGAAAAAAGAAGGATCACTTGCCTGAATCTCCTAATTATCTCCCTTTTAGCATCATTCCTTGTCACTCCCACTCCTAATTATATTAATGAATGCTTACTTGTCAGGAAGATTGAGAGTAGGTTAAAGTTTGCGCAAAATCTTCACGACCTCTGAATAGTGTTCAACTATTTCGACTAAACAGTATCTCCCATTTGCTGATGGAATCTCAAATGCCTTTGTATGTGCATTAGCAACATCTTTAACATGAACCCATCCATAACTTGCATTTGGGAATGTTTCAGCCCCTGCATCGTACAAACTAATCATTGGGGTAACATTTCATCAGAAAATGAAAGAATTATTATACTCTAAGGCTATGTTTGGTTTGAAGGAAATTTTAGAGAAAGGTAGGGGAACCTTTACAACCCTTGTATTGATTTCCCTGTCTTTCCCTTCTTTTCCCTACCTTTTCCTTCAAACCAAACATAGCTTAAGTATCCTTTTCCCTATGATTTGCAAGGACATTTGTGAAAATTGCTACATAAATCTGATTCTGCATTCTACAAGTTACCATTCCAACATCGACATGTGACATTGTTTTGGAGGGAGTTTCATTATTTCCCTTTACTCTCTTGTTGATCAGTAATGAAAAATTTTTCTCATAGAAAAGTGAAAGATATTTAAATGATAAGGGAATTTAACTCTGTTCAGGACCTTTGCCTTTTTTTGCACAAAGTGGATGATCTATGACTAGAACTACCTCTGTTCTTACACTTGTCATCCCAAGATTATACCTGTACTAAGCAATGGCCTCTAGGACTAAATATACTCTAATGCTTGGAAATGTGTATTCAGTATTTTTTCTATCAAGAGTTCACTCACATCCATCTACATACTAGTAATTTAATAAACACATTTTAGCAAAGAAAATGGTCCCTGCCAGGCTGCCATTTTACAATTGTTTCCTGTGTGGTTATTGAATCAATCACATTGGCTTCTTGAAATAGTCAAGGTAATGATATTCAGATAACAGAATATCCATCTACTATTTCTGGAGAGCTTTCTCTATTTACTGGAGAGGCCCAACCAAATCTACTAGCACAAAAATGATAACAGGATAAACCAAACATGATAAACTTGACAATAAAAGCATACCATTTATTAAGTTCAGAACTGCGGCAGTGCTTGTATTAAGAGTTGGCTGTAAAAGAGGACCAATCACCATTGCTGGATTTACTGTAACAATGTCAATTCCATGTTCTTTGCAAAGTCCCAAGGAATATCCTCAGCTAAGGTTTTTGAAAGTACATACCATCTCTGCTGCAAGTGAAATGTATTATGTATACTGAATTAGCTTATGGGCTATTATGGGTGTGGTGAATCTCAATCCACATGGCACACCATCAACAAATAAAGATGGAATATGAAACTCTGGAAATCAACAGGCCAGTGAAATTTGTGGATTTAAAATAACAGAAACATCACTTTGCTGATTCCATTGCAGCTAGTCGAGGTCCTGATGGAAATAATTTGTATTCAACTACCACAAAGTGCATTACCTAAAAAAAGTACAAAATAAAATGACTAATTTCCACTGAAAATCATACAAGCACAACATACGTCTTTTTTTTGTTATAAACTGATCAAAGTACTTAACATGTATTTAGTCCTCGAACTTGTACACCCACTATCCATTGTTGATCACATCCTAGAACAATTTCACATCATTTATGCAGCATATGGTTTGATGTTTCTTAGAGATATGTTGGTCGCATAATGCTCGTTTATCCATACATATAAATAAAGTTCCATTGCTAATTAAGAAGCCTATTTAATGGGCTGGTTTCTGAAACAAGAATAAGAGAAATAAAAATCACCACTTATTAAGCATGGCAATTTGAAAACCCAAATCTGTTGTAGACAGTGTTGTACCAGAGCTTTAACTTCAAATAAACCTTAGGAGGGATTTCGTGGGCACAAATCCCAGTCCTACATACTGAATGTTAAGAGATGCATGAAGCATTCTCACCTTCTAGTCTGTCAAACAGTTGGCTGTATGAAAGAACGTGACAGCAACCAAAACGTATTTGAATAAGTAGGGGTTTGATCATTAGTTATGTTCCTTGCATAGAATAACAATGCACAAGGAATAGTTGATATGAACCAACATAAAAATGCTTCATTGTGCTTCAGGAACTCATATTTTTGGAACCTGGTTTAGTTAGTTTGGTTATCAATAAAAAAAAAAAAAGATGCTCCACTCAGATATAATGCAATTTTTAAGAAGCACGTTTTGATTCTTTTTTTGCCTGAAGTGGCATCTTTTGTTATTTTCTGTCTCCTGATGGAGACAAGTGTTTGGTCAAATATCTCTGATTATTTCTTGACTCTCAGGATGAGCATAAATGTATTCACAATGTATCACCAATGGTGGTCTTGATTGTATCCTTTCATTACAACTGATCATAGCACTAGATAAAAATTAAAAAAAAGAACAATAGTACAAGTTACTAAAAAATAATCACAACAATATAAATAAAAACTATTTGAAACTAAAATTTACAAAAATCACTTCAGAAAGAATTGTCAAAACAACAAAACGATGACTATATCATAAGAAAGAAGGGAAAATATCTGAACCTTTGTTTCCCTACAAAACTCTGGATCAGAAAACCAAGTCTCATCAACTGCCACGTTAGGAGTCCGAGATCTCCAATTGTATGCAACTGCAGCAATGGAGGAAGTTATGACCACTCTTCTAGAAGGAGTATTCGCACAGGAGTGAAGAACATTAAGAGTTCCCTTAACTGCAGGGTCAATCAATTCAGCCTGAAATGCGGAATGGAACAGAAAAGGCCAATTGATGAAACAGTCAAGAACATAAATAGAAAGATAAAATGCCCAAAACTTTTATAATTGTTGTGCTGAAAAGAAAGAACAGCATTATATGATACAGAACAACACATAAGAAAGAAAATAATAGGTAAGGCTCTTTCAGTTAATGCATGGTATCTGTATTGTG